ATAGTTAAAATTTATTCCAGTAACATATAAATATTGTAGTACATCATACCTCGTTGTGCAGCCTTGATAGGTTATGAAAATGTTGGACGCAGAGCGAAACCCGGTATAAACAGGGTACAATTTATTGAAAAAGAAAGGACCTCAATTCAGAATGAAGCATAAAGTGAGGCATTTATATCTTAGTTATTATAATTATGATGTAAAAGATATAACGGATTTAAAATGAACCATTTATAAAAACGAAAATCATCAAAAATATCTTAACAAGCAATTGTTAAGCAAACAACAAAACCGACTTCAATTCTCATGTAAAAATTTAAGATTATCGTTAATTTCTTCATTATCCGATTATCGGATTTAAACCAAATTAATAAGGGACCACCTGTGAGGTAAAACATTTCCTTAAAAAAAAATATAATAATTATAGTAATCGGTTAACTAGGTCCTAAATTATGCGGTAACATAAATTAAAAAAATAAAAAGTATTCCGACGAATTGATCACCTTCTCCTTTTTGTGAAGTAGGTTAAAAATAATATATAATGTAAATCCAACTTGAGACGGACCGCCATTAAAAAAAAAGTTCAATGTTCGTTGTTTTGCATTTCGTTTAAGCTCGTCTTTAAAACAAATGGTCCAATGTCTGTTGTTTGCATTTCGTTTAAGCTCGTCTTGAAATTATATAAAGGGGCTCTTGCACTTCTTGATTCGTCAGGAACGAACTGCATAAGAATTATGACTCCTTCCTCAAAGTGATTAAGTGGCTCGGTTCACCCTTTTGATGTCAACTTCTTTTTTGTGGAAGAAAGAAAACGAAATATGGAGTCATTTTAAGGATGTTCTAAAGACAATGCACCTCGTATTGTTTAATAAATAGTACGTACATAATTATCAGCCTTGCTGAACGTAGCCACACAACCAGCGCGATTGTAAAAATCTGCTGGCTCTGTGTCGTCCATATCGTCAAAAAAGTCTGAATCCCTCGCCCAGCAAGGTCCTAATTCTTTAGCTACTATCTGATCACGCCAAAAATCTAGCATCCCGCGCTTAAGCAGCTCGTCGCGAACCGAGTTTATCCATTTATTGTAAGACCAAGGATCATAAAAGCACGCATCAGCTTTTAACTTATAAAGTAAGTCTCCAGCTTTTATTTGATTTTCGACGGAAGCAGGTTGATCTGAAAACAGAAGCTTCCAAACAGCATCACGGGCAACAATGGCAATTTTATTGAAGTTGCGAGTGATAACGTCATCTTCGACGAGCTGTTCTGCTCGCACTTTTATATTGATTAAATTATCGTAGTCTTCCGCTGGTGTATCAGTTGAAATGTTAGCTTCAAAATCTGCTTCAAGCTGAAAAAGGAAGACGTGTATAACAACACTACGTACACGATATATATGTATACTAACATTTAAACGATGTCCAATCGCAGATTGTGGTAATTCCGCGATTGCTGAATTATGCCTTTCCCCGGTTACTTGTCCAAATGGAGCAACACAACCAGCATAATTGTAGAAAGCAGTTGGCGCGGGATCTTCCATGTCATCAAAATAGTCCGAATCTCTAGCCCAGCATGGGCCTAATTCCTTTTCTACCACATGTTCCCGCCAAAAGTCAAGCATCTGCCGCTTCAACAGCTCATCACGTACACCATTAATCCATTCATTATAAGCAAATGGGTCTTGAAAACATGCATCCTCCTTCACTTTACTCATGAAGTCTGCAATTTTAGTTTGTTCATCTTTCGTCACGGAGCGAGACCCAAAAAGCAACTGCCAAATAATATCGCGTGCAGCTTTAGATATTTTTATGTAGTTACTCCGCATCACATCGTCATCCTCTATATCTTCTGATTGAACATTTGTATTCATAAGTCGCTCATAATCTTCTAAAGGAGATTCTAAAGAGATTTGTGGGTCTAAATCAGATACTGGAGCCTAATGTTGTTAAAAGGTTAGTCGTTTGAACAATATAATATAAAACCTGTACTTACAAGATTGATCATGGCGTCTCTGGTTTGGGTTACTGCGAGACTTACCGGCTTTAAAAAGTTTTTTGACGTGGAGTTAAACATTCGATTAAGTTAAAGATATCCAAAAATAGGTATACAAATTTTATGTAGTAACACCACAATATAACCAGTAAACAACCTTCGGTGAATTTGGCGACTGCCTT